ACATTTGAGAGACTTGGAAGGGTATTTTTGACATTTAGAAAGTACAAAATAATACAGATCCTGATGGGCAACTCACTCCTGTAATCCCAGTACTGCAGAGGCTAAGACTGGGCCAGGGCCAGCTAGGGCTACATAGTAAGTTCCAGGCCGGCCCATCTAGAAAATGAGAAAGATTATGCACAGGCCTAGAGCTCATCTCAGGGTTACTCATGCATCAAATTTGTTGTTTGTTTCTCGAGACAGAGTTTCTCTTTATAGTTCTGGCTGTTTTGGAACTCACTCTGTAGACCAGGCTGACCTCAAAGTGCTGCCTGCCTCTGCCTCCTGAGTGCTGGGATTAAAGGTGTGCACCACCACCACCCAGCAATGAATGTTAAATTATTTTACTTCAGATTATCTGACACTTTGTTCTGTGAATTGTTTCTCTGTTTTCCTAGTACCCTCTGTCTGTAGGGCATTGTGGTTTTTTTGTTTTTTAATGTCATAGATGAATGTGTTTCCAGAAATTCAGAGATGCTTTAGATGCCAAATCTCTTTTTGGCCAGCCACAGTGGTATCAGTCTCCCTGGCCTGGCCTCCAAAGCTGTTGTGTATAATGGAATGATGGCATGATGGTGTCAACTGACTCTTGGGTGTGTAGCAGCTGTGTGAACTCTTCCCATTCTTAGCAGATGTTGTGTCTGTTAGGTGGAGAGGACAGACTTGGTGACATCAGGTCATAAGAACTTAATGGGCTGGAGAAGTGGTTCAGTGGTTAAGAGCACTGGTTGCTCTTTCAGAGGACCCTGGTTCAATTCCCAGCACCCACATGGCAGCTTACAACTGTAACTCCAAGATCTGACACCCCTCACATAGACATACATGCAGGCAAAAACACCAATGCACATAAAATAAATATAAGTAATTTTTTTTGGAAAAGAATACCACTTAGTGCCGGGCGGTGGTGGCGCATGCCTTTAATCCCAGCACTAGGGAGGCAGAGGCAGGCAGATCTCTGTGAGTTCGAGGCCAGGCTGGACCAATAGTCTCCAAAACAATACAGAGAAACCCTGTCTCGTAAAACCAAAAAAAAAAAAAAAAAAAAGAATACCACTTAGTTCTGTGGGAAACAACACTTTCAAACACTTTCAAAGTCCTAATACTGCCTTTTCCTCTCAGTCCTCCCATTTTGGCCCAGGAATCCCTCTTTGCTTTTGTGCTTTTGAAGTCAAGTCAAGACTGTGTTGAGAGGCCCTCCTATCTCCCATCTACCTCTGAGACTGATTGATCTTAGTGGAAGCAATCAGCAGCAGCTTCCACCCTGACCTTGATCCTTTTGTGACTCAACTAACCCCACTTGTACCCTGGGTTGGAGCTGGCCCTGCATGTTTATGGCACTGAAGATTTCAGAGCTCTTCACAGCAATTTTTCTCATGTTTCAGTCCAGGGTAGTCAAGTAGGTGCCTTCACATACCTTTCCTGAGGCGGCAATGCTGTGTCACCAAGAGCTTTCTTCCCTAGCCACTGCGTGCTTCTAGCAGAGGATTGCTGGTTGGGTGCAAAGGCCATGAGGCTTCTTTGCCTTGAGGAACTGAAAGTTAATTTATTTTTTAGATACGGGATTCTACTGTTTGATGAAACATCCTACTGAAAGCATGTATCTCTTACGTGAGCCATGCCTTCTCCCCAGAAGGTCCCATAGTCCATTGCTCTTTGTCTCTGAATGCTGTATTACCCTGTACTTCCTTCTCAGTTACATGGACACAGAGCAGTATGAAGAAGCTGTGCGGGACTATGAAAAAGTGTATCAGACGGAGAAAACTAAAGGTATGAAAACACGGGGACATCAGATTCAGGGAGCTGTGGTCTTCTGGGTCCTAAATGTAAACGTCAGAGTATTTGATATAGCACTTAGGCAATCAACAGTTCCTGGGTGGGGGCTTAGGCACCTGTATTCTGGTTCTAGCTCCATCCTGTCATTTTCACTTCCTCTGTCTTCAGAAGAAAACACCAAAAAAGCCTCTTTTGTGGTTACCAAGGCGTCTACCCTCTGGGCAGCTGGGCTGGGACCCAGCAAGGGAAGCAGTTGGATGTGTCTGTTGATGCCGCCTGTCTCCCTCCAGAACACAAACAGCTGCTTAAGAGTGCACAGCTGGAGCTGAAGAAGAGCAAGAGGAAAGACTACTACAAGATCCTGGGGGTTGACAAGAATGCCTCTGAGGATGAGATCAAGAAAGCGTACCGGAAACGGGCCTTGATGCACCATCCAGGTGAGCGCTGCAGAAGGTGCAGCAGGAAGAACTCACGGGTGCATGCAGTGGGCACCTGGGAGACTCTCTTCATGGGAAGGGGGTGCTGAGCTCTCTGTCCTACACATTGTGGGATGTGCCACATGCCAGACTTGGACATAAACGGACTTTGTTTTTGTGTGACCCTGGTTTCACTGAATCCTCCAGATCGGCACAGTGGGGCCAGTGCCGAGGTTCAGAAGGAGGAGGAGAAGAAGTTCAAGGAAGTGGGAGAGGCCTTTACCATCCTCTCTGACCCCAAGAAAAAGACTCGTTATGACAGTGGACAGGACCTGGATGAGGAGGGCATGAATATGGGCGGTGAGTTGGTTTGGGCACCTGGAATGAGGATGGTCCCTACAAACCCCCCCCCCCCCCCAAAAAAAAAACCACCAGAAAGGGCCCTGTTGTTGTTGCCAAGGCTTCTGTCCTCTGGGCAGCTGAACTGGGACATTCTAGAGGGGAAGTCTGTAAGTGGTCAGCCAGTGATGTAAGACTATTTAATAGGCTGTCAAAAAAAAAAAGAGATGACCTAGGACAGGAGCCTTCAGAACTGCTGTGGTCTGGAAGAAAAGAGCAAAAGAGCACATGCTAGTTCCAGGGGTTGGGATCTCCAGGTCTGCTGTGTTGATTTTGTTGTCACTCAGGTGATAGCTGAGCCTTCTCAGTAACAGCCCCAGTGTTATAGGAAGGCAGCATAGTGCAGATGACATTTCTAAGTAAGGAGACAGTAGGCAGAGCATGTTGAGCAGAGAAGATTTTCCTTCTGGACTGCACCTGCCCCGAGCTCTAGGGCAGAGAACATGCCAGGGCTGGCTGGGGTCAGCAGCAGGCTCTGCCTGGGGTGGGGTGGGGAGAGGTTTGCTAACATCTAGGCTGCAGTGATGGGAAGGGAAGTGATACTCAGAGTTCTTCTGCATCTGGTTCCTCAGACCCTTCTGACTTTCCCCTTTTTTGTCCCTTCCATGCTTCTCACCAGATTTTGATGCAAACAACATCTTCAAGGCATTCTTCGGTGGCCCTGGGGGCTTCAGCTTTGAAGGTGGGTATGCCTGTTGCTCTTGAGAGCTCCCAGGTGATGAGCCAGCACTGGTCCCTTGTTCAGTAGGACATGTATGGACTCTAGTGTGGCTGAGGCGAGGCTTAGGCTTATCTTGTCTGGAGCCATTCTCAGTGCACTTGGTGGGGTCAGAGAAGCTTCACCAAGTCCCTTAATAGCAAGCCTTCTCCACGAGAGTAAAGGTGTTCAGAAGCTACACATAAAATGCACTCCAGCCCAGTGGTAGGGTGCACCTTGCATGCTAGTCCTTGCCCTCATGGCTCAGACTGTTTGGTTGGTACCCTTGGAGTCTCTGTGTTTGGATTAAGCTGTCCTTGAAGACTTCTATAACAACCGTGGTTTTCCTAAGAAAATCCACAGAGCAACTAACAAGCCTTTCTTTTCCCTTTCAGCATCTGGCCCAGGGAATTTCTTCTTTCAGTTTGGCTAATGAAGGGCAACTACTGAGAACCCAGAAAATGCAGACTTGCTCAGTTTACCCATGAGTGTGGACGGTTCACCCCCTCCATCATGTCCCCGTGTATTTAGAGCAGTTTCGTTTTCTCAGTTGGGTGCCCTGTGTCTGTATGAGTGGGGTGAAGGAAAGGGAGCCAGCGCTGAGGACTGGGGAGGGGAGGGAAGCCAGGGGTAGACAGGGAGGCAGCTTGTGAATTTTTGTTGTATTGTTTAACTTTATTAAAAAAGAAAATAAAATGTTTTGATCATTTTTTTGGTCCTTAGCTGTGTGTGGTAACTGCTGTGTACCTGAAGTTCACGCAGGAGCATAGGTGCCCAGTGTGCGTGCGCGCGCGCGCTTTGCTTTTGCTGTGTTTTACATGGTCTCACAACGTAGGCTTAGGCTGTCCTGGAGCTCAGGGCAGTCCTCCTGCCTCAGCCCTTTGCAGTACTAAGATTACAGCTTGAGCCACCACACCGGCATGCTTCTATATTTCTTACTGTCACTGTAGGCTTGAGGGACATGGACATGAAAACAAGATTCTGCTCCTGACCTCCAGGCTCTTTTAAAGCATGCCAGGCAGCTCCAGAGCTCGAGCCCGGTCGCTGGCTCTTAAGGCCCATGCTATTGGAAATTACACTCTCTGCAAATGTGTGACTGGTCTCATTTCCTGCTTAACAGGAGGCAAAGTGGAGAAGGAACTTGTAGCCTTGTCACACTGCTCAGTCAAATTACTGTTCTGGGCAGACTCGGGTGGCTTTGAAGCTAGGCTGCAGGTGCTAACAAGTGGCAGAATGGTTAGGGTAGGGCCCCCGTGAGCCTGGAGGGGCTGCTGTAGGTCTTCTCTTGTGTTTGAAGAACACTAACTTAAGGTGGCCTTCCCCAGAGACCCTACAAAGCCCACGCTGGAAACTCTGGGCCCTGCCGAGAGGTCTCTGATTGGACCAAGGACACCTGCATATGGTTGCCTTAGCTTCAGATAAAGGCTTTGTGCTCTAGTTCCTGGCTCCCAGCCAACCCCACCTTGTGCATGAGTCTGAAGCCAGCCTTGCCCTTCTGCTTCATGAAAGCTAGCACTGTTCCGCTGCCCAGCCTCATCACAGCTGTGCCCAGTCAGCAGAAGGGAGACAGGACCGATGGCCCCAAGCTGTGGGACAAAGCTAGTGTTAATGTACCCAGCCCTGGCCCCAGGGAAGACTGAGCTGGACATAGAAGGCCAAGAGTGACTGCACACAGCTGGGATTAATGTGATTTATTTCGGTATCAGTCTTAGAAGTTGCTGAGGTGGGCAAAACCAGGGTAGGAACATAAACCCCAGATACTTGGGTGACAACCCAATCAATTAGCAAGGTCCTGTTACTGAGCAAAGGCAGAGTGAGAGATTCCAGGGACCACAACACATGGCCTTGTTCAACTTCTCCAGAGCAGGAGATTGGGCATACTCTTGCCAGTTCAGGGTCCCCTCCATTGGCTCTTGGTACCCACCACCCTCCTTTAGAGGAGGCCCAGAGGCACCATGGATGCAGAATGGGCTTGGTGGAAAGCCAAGCTGGAGCTTCTCAGGCCATGTCCTTGGTCTCTTGCCTACACAGCAGAAACATACTACTGTGAAGGGGGGAAGCCCAGTGGGAAGCCAGAGATCGTGGCTTCTGGTAATTCCACTTTCTCCCCTAGCGATCACACTCTTCACCTAGTCACGGTGTGAAGGAGGTGACAGGGGCTTAGGAATGACCAAAGGTCACCAGCAAATAGCACAAGCCTTCCTAGGCACTATAATGATTAAAAACAAGACTGGCACCGAGGGATCCGACCCCTTGAGCTACCACTGTTTTCCTGTGGCAGTAGCACTGTCCTAAGCATGATGTGGCAGCTCTGAGGTGTGCCCAGCTCAGGATGGGCATTTGGCCAGGGGCCAAAGGAGGGCTAACCAGCTCCTGGACGCAGGGCAGATGTGGCTCCAGCCTTTTATTATCACCACTGGTCCAGGTTCCTGAATGGTGTCTTCGTCTACCCACCTGCCTGTGTTGCGAGCTCGGGTGTTAAGGGGAAGAGGGTGGGCAAGAAGGGACTGGGCAGTTACTTTACAGACTCTTAAAAAGTTACAGAGAGGTTAGCTTCGAATAAAAAACAAAACAAAATCTTAAAAGTCAAGTGGAAGGCATGTCGCCCTGTCCACCTCTCTCTTCTGGAGAGCAGAAGGGATAGAGAGGTGTGAATCCTCAGATGATGGTGCAAACCTGCATGGCACCCCCCTTCCGGCCACCATGCGTGGGTACAGGTTTGCCCTTCCCATAGTACCCTGTGAAGATGGCCTTGACCTCTATCTTCTTAGCCAAGGTCAGCATCCAACGCCCTTTGCCCAAGGAATAGAGCTTGCCCCGGGAGATCTCGCCCACCTCCTCACCTCGGCTGCCCCCCTTCTCTTGCTGCAAAATCTCTAAGAGGTCAAGGCCTGTCTGCACAGGTTGCACGTCAGCTGCACAACCCAGGGTGATGTGAGCTCGGCTCCCTGGGGGCAGGCTCTCAGAGGAAGATGGCTTGTCCACGTCACTTGGCCACAAGAGCAGCTGCTGCTCATTCAACACCACCTGGGCCCCAGCCGTCTTGGGTGTCACAAAGAGGGCCGAGATGGACAGTTTGAAGGCCTTGCTGTAAGATCTCTTCACCACCTATGGAGAGAGGGGGTTCAAGTTCGAGGGACAGCTGGCAAGGGTAGACCACCCCCAGAGAAGAAAGTGAGTGTGGCTATGCAGGGGTCTTTTTAAAAGGCAGATCAAACAGACATAAGCCATTCAAGCTAATGTTGGGCAAAGGCTCTCAGGCACCAGACACAAGGCTCTGTCTGAGTGTGCTGCTAGCTAGCCTCTCTGCCTTGGTTATTCCCTTGTGAGAGAGGGGTAACACTAGAGCCTACCTTTGGGGAAACAGGATTAACAGTTGTGGGTGAAGAGCCCAGATCAGCTACTACTATTATTTCACAACTACCCAATGCACTGTGGTTTCCATCTGCTTATACCTCTGGCCATACCTGACAGTGTGACGGGTGCGTGGCTGGCATTGCTAACTGGACAACAGAAAGGATTGGCCAGTAAGGGAGCTACAGCAAATGGCTGCTGGGAAGGCAATGGTAAAGCAAGTTAGGAACTGGGCGACATGGCTGGAGTGGGGGACGGCTGTGCTGGCTGTGTGCTGTGTGCTAAGGGTTCAGGAATCAGTGTGTCACTATCCTGAGCTACTCCTTCACTCTGGAGCAAGGCAAGGCCTCGAGGTAGACTAGAGCCCAGTGCCACAGGCTCTCTGGATGGAATACAGGACTTAAATGGACTCCTGGGACTCTGGGACTTAACATGGGTTCAAGAGGCCAGAGTAGGACCCTGCAGCTGCCTGGTATTCTCCATGAATCTACTTGAGGGAAAAGACCCCTGAGCAGGTTCTGGGGACAGATGAACTAGTAAGTCCCCAAGAGGGAAACAAGAGCAGAGACTAAGCCAAAGATAGGAGGCCATACTTCTCCAGCCACTGTGATGTCTCTGCCCCGTGCCACGGCTCCAGAAGATACTTGAACCCACTCACCCTCCCATCCTCCACCGGGTCATCCCTGGGGAGAACTCACATCCTGTTGGGCATATTCTTCTGCCCCAGTGGCCTTCCCGTAGTCACAAAATTTGGTTGTACAGTGCAGCACTCCTGGGGGTCTCTTCCCAAAGTAGCTGACCAGTTCAAGTTTCTCCTTGGGTTCATCTCCGGAAATAACTGCAGAAGAGAAGATCTGGTCACAGCAGTGAGCTGGGCCTACCAACACCTACAGAAACTGCAAGCCCAGAGGGGCAGAGGCCTTCACTAAGATGTTCTCAGGCAGTCCACTGAGCTTCGCTCATTTGCTAGCTGGAGATGTATAGCTAGCTCAGTCGGCAGAGTGCTGACCTAGCGTGCACAATGACCTGAGTTGAATCCCTAGCATTGGGAAAGAAGATGCAAGAGGACCAGTTAGTTCTTGGGGGAGGGGGGAGTTGGGATGCTCACCTAGATGCATAGGGTCTTGGAGTCAATGCTGGGTGGGGGAACACTTTAAACTCTAACCATGCTGGTTTTACCCCATATAGATCTTTACGTCTCTGAGTTCTAAGACATGCAATAGGCTGGGCAATTCTAGCCAAGGACTAGCAGCATACCTGGAATGGAAAGCTGGATGGCAGGGTGGTACACGGGAAAATGAAACACATCTTGCCACTTACTAGCCACATGGGACACATGGTTGACCCCTGTCAGTCCACTGCAAGTTTCAGTTGTATAACCCCAAATTCCTCAGGGCCTGAGATTACAGCAACCATTTCACCAATTACCCTCCAATGCCCCGCAGGCATGCTTGTTGAGCATACCAAGGGTCTGGAACAGGAAGGGTCCTGGGTACTCTGGGACGAGCTGGCTAAGGACTAGAATGTCAAAGCTGATCTTCCACACTCCAAGCTTTGTGGCTGTATTCAGTCTCTAGCCTTTGCCTATTTGTTCCCAAAGCTCAACCCTTCCAGGATATTCTACTCTGAGCATGCCTTGTTATCACCTCTGCTGCCTCCTGCCACACCCTGAGCAGAAGAGCATTCTGGTGTTTATGGTCAAAGGCAGCAAGCAAGCATGCCCAAGCCAGCATCACCAGCTCTGGCCAGAAGCCCTGGCTCTTAGGGTTGCCCCTCACTCTGTACAGGAAGTGGGCTGGCTCCCAGTAAGCATCCTCCTTGTAGAGTGAACAAGTTTTCTGAGAACTCACACGGGCACAAAGGACCTCTGAGTGATCTAACAACAAAACAGTTATTTCAAGTTTTCAGAGCAGCAAAAATTGAGACACTAACAACGAGTTAAAGGAGACCAGGCATGGTAAAGGGAAGGCAGGGGCAGGAGGATTACTCTAAGTCAGAGGCCAGGCTGATGAATGTAGTGAGTTCCAGACCAGTCATGGAAGACTACAGAGGGAGACTGTCTCAAAAAACAAAGACTTAAAGGCACAGAAGGGCTAGGGGATGACAGCCTGTGGGACACTGGTAAATTAGGAGACTTCCCTACCCCAAAACTACTCGTTCACTGGAGCCAATAACCCTTGCCAGGAGAGAACCCTGCTGGATCTTACCCAGGTATGGGTAACAACTCATATCCTTTCTGGGCTCTTGTGTGGAGAGAATGTTCTGGAAGGCATGAAGCTGAGTTCTCTAGCTGGGAATGCCATGGCAGCACCATGGGGAGTCAAAGGCCTGCAAACCAGCCCCAGGGAAGTCACAACAGGCTTGATCTTACTACTATTGGTAGCTGAGGCATCTCATATTTTACTTGGAAACATGTTTTCTGCTGCTAAAAATGAGTTTGACAGTCTTGACCAGGGCCTCCCTCGGAGGTCACAGCATATGGTGTCATTTCCTATGCTGAGAGTTACTTAGTTTTCCTACCTCCAAGACAGGGATGGTGGTCTACATCCAGGCTGGACTGAGAGGAGGAAGGTGGCAAGAAAGTTGCCTTGGACAGGCCTTCTCCATAGTGTCTCCTGCTTCTACCACTAAAGCCTTGCTTCCGGCTATCCTGGAGGCCACCACCTGTATCCTCCACCCCCCACCCCATCCCTGAAGCCCAACAGCACCCAATGCCTGGCAAGGCGGGGGAGGGGAGAGGGCTCTCTGACCCAGGCAGACAGAAGGATTTAGCGGCCCTGCTCCCTCCCCACAAACACCTACAGTGTCGGAGCTCCTTCTTGAAAGCCTTGTGATTCCCCAGCTCCTCCAGGAAGACCTGGCCAGCTTTGCGGAGGGTCTCAGAACTCTTTTTGGTCAGGAACCAGCCAAAGTAGAGTGGCAGGAAGTCCTTCTCCAACCCGGGCTTCAGCTTCTTCAGCTCTTCGGCCGACAGCTGCCACTGACTCTTCTCCTTGAGCTGGGCACAGTCTAGTCGCCATGCTGTCTTGGGCTCCACCAGCACCACCTGGTACTGGTACTGATCAGCCATTTCAAAGAGCTGATCCAGTCGCTCCCGCTCATGGTTGGTGTCATCAAGCACAAGAACCCTGATGTCCCGGCGGCAGTAGGCAGCCAGGTCCTCGTCCAGCCGCTTGTACTCCTCGGAGAAGTCTGCTCGATAACCAGGGTTGATCTTGTAAGTATCGGCAGATACCACCTTGGTCCCATTGTGGTACTTATCCACGATGAGGCGAGCCAGGGTGGACTTGCCGCTGCCTGGCAGGCCACGCAGGATGAACAGGGTCTTGCACTCATGCAGCGTGGCCACTGTGTCTTCATCCTGGAGGAAGGGGAACTGCAGCTCTGGCTTGTCCTTGGCTCCTGAGGATGACATTTTTCGGAAGAAGATCTTGGGCAGGAATGTGTGGCTCCTTCGGGAAAAGCTTGTGTTCTGTGTCAGGAGGGAAGAAAAGTCAGCCCACAGGCACCAAACCCTCCTCTTTGGCCCAGTTCTCCCAAAGAGGGACCAGTTGCCAGCTCAGGAATCCCCAGGCCTAAATTAAAGCACCTTGGGTGGTGGTGCTTTCTCCAGCAGGGACTGGTGGCTTTTTTCCTCCCAGTTGGTCCTTCAGTATCTTCAGCAGCAGGGCTGTGGTGAGTAGAGGGAACCTCAGTGACACTACCTAACCTCTTATCCCCCTGGCTCCGAGGATCGCTCTCTGCTGTCCCTTGGAGAAAACACCTTGGTAGCAGTGCATGCAAGGGAAGCAAATGCCTGTTGCTCCCCGCCGGCCCTAACTTATATATTCTGGGCACCTCTTAAGGATGTCCTATTTGGAGGCCTGAGGCTCTATGTATGGGCAAAGCCACGGCTGCCCTGGTTCTCTGAGTGTGCAGAGGAGGGTGAGGGCAGAGGAGGGTGACCCAAAGACCGCCTCCCTCCACCCAACAATGGCATCAACAGATAATACTCTCTTGTCTGGGTGTGGGGGACAATGGTGCCACAGAGGGCTGTTGGGGGGCAGGGCAGGAGAGCATTGGACAAAGGGCCTCATTCACAGCCACCTCCTCCTCTGCCCTCTCGGTACCCCCTCCGTGGTCTGTAGGACTAGGGGGCACAGGGCACCTGGATTCAGAAATTTCTGCCCCCCTTCTTTGCTGTGTGTTAGCTATACCTCTCTGACAAAAGCAACACGTTTCAACTGTCTCCCCCGCTGGCTTCCGCCTTTGGTGTACACCGGAAAATTTAGCTGGCTTATGGCTTCTTTACGGCCCTGCGCTGAGAACCAACTCCCAGGGCGGTCTGTGCAGTACCCCTGAGCTCTGGTGTACCCCGGGGGCCCAGACCCACTTGCCAGCTGGTGTCGCCAGGGAGCCTAGGGATTTTCTTCTCCGGAAGCTTTGAGACACCTCCCACCGCCAAGCTTCCCCACTCCCCCTGCCTTTGCGCTGCCCCGGAGGGCCCAGAAGTTGGACTTCCAACTCCGAAGCCTGGGGCCTTCATTTGCAAGCCACTTTTGCCCAAGCATCCCCAAGACTGTCGCTTACTGATATAGTCTCTCTCCCGCCCAGACCCCCACGCGTGCGCTGCGCTCACCATGATGAGTGGGCGCACAGCCGTCACCGCCTTTGCGGGCACTATGTCTCCGGGGCCGCCCGCCTGCGCGAGGGACACGGGCGTCTTGGGGTGTCGGGACCCCCACGCCGGGCGCCTTTCATAGCCCGGGGGGCGGGGCGCGGAGGGGCGGGGTTATCCCGAGCCTCTGCGCACGCGCTCCCGGGGAATCGAAACCAGGGTACTGGGAAGCAGCGGTCTGAGCCTTGGTTGAGCCCAAAGGCGCACCTGGACTCTCTCTGACACAAGAGTCGGCCACCTCTTTGTCACTTAAAAGTTAAAGATTAACTTCTTTCCCCTCGGAGACAGAACTTTCTCTGCAGACCAGGCTGGCCTGGTACTCACAGAGATCTGCCTGTCTCTGCCTGTCTGGGAGTGCCGGGATTAAGTGCCGGGTCACTTCTAGAGGAGAAAGATTAACTCTTAAAACAGGAAACAGTTGCCTTTCCCGCGTCCCCAGGCAGGTTAGGAGGAAATGAGTGAAATAAAGGCGTGCGTGTGGCAAAGTCAAATCCTTTACATTTCTCTAACAGGCCCCTAGACTAATACAAATGAAACCTTGGTGGACATGCCATTCAGGGCATGAGACCAGGCAGCACCACCTGCCAAAACAAAAACAAAGACCTAATCCATCAAAGTCCGTATTATGGAAAAGTCCCTAAATGTACAACCTTGCTTTTTGGCGTCTGTAGTTATGCTTCTGGCTGAGGTGTGTGTGTGTGTGTGTGTATGTGTGTGTGTGTGTGTGTGTGTGTGTGTGTGTGTGTTTAATGTGGTTTCTGTGTACCCCACCCGCACCACCTTGTACTCTCCACATAGAACATCCTGCGGAAAGCGAGCCAATGGCGGAGAAGCAGGCAGAAACGCCTCTGTTCTCCAGGCTTTGTTTCCTCTCCTTCGAGCAGATCCGGGCTCCGTGGGGCTCACCTGCCTGCCACCCCCCCCTTATATATCCCATCAGTTCCCTACTGAGAATGAGGGGGAGGGGGGAGGCACAATGACTCACTCAGGATTTGCAAAATTAAGACACACATTTAATGAGAAAACAGGGCGGTGGGATGACTTGTAGGCGGCAGACTCCCAGGTTTTTTTTTTTCCTACCAAAAACGTCTCACCTGGGAACACTGTCCTGAACCTAAGTCCTATTAGGCAAGCCTTCATTCCTTTCCCGTTTGTTAAGTAAGCGTTTCAGTCTTTGAGTCCTCCTCTTCCTCCGACTTCTCCAGCCCTTCATCCTCCCTTCTGGCTTCTTCTTCCATTCTCTTCTCTAGTTTTAGGTCCCTTAGGCTCACACTGTCCGAGGCTGTCTGGTCCGAGTCTTCCTCTTCCGAGAGCCTGCCGTTGGACGACCGACTGTCCTCCAGCACTTTTCTGCTGTCCTCTGTCCTCTGCAGGGCCTGCTTCTGCCCCTCGTCGTCGTCGGTGGTGTCTCTCTCGCTCTCCCTTTCCCACTGTTTCACCGCATTGTCCACCTCACGCACTCGCCTCGGCTCCTTCTCGGGGACAGCTACGGGCAACTCCACCAGTGCAGTGACCTCCTCTGAAAAACACAACAGGGTGGGGGCAGGGTGAAAATCTGCTGTGACGAGACCCCTCGAGGTCTGGGCTTCTGAGAGCAAAACCCTGAGAGTGGCCGCTGTGTCACAAGCTCTTTCAAACGGTGTGACCACACAGGCCTCCAAAAGGATGGACCTGGTCATGACTCAGCGCCTGAGGCCAGCCCTGCTCTGGCTTCCAGTGAGATGCTGCACATACTACACCCCTCGGTTATCACGGAATTGCCCAGGAACCCCAGACTGACACAAAGGATATTCACCACCATCTCCCTCCAAGCAAGAGCAAAGCCAGGATTTGAACCCAAGACAGTCTGGCCCAAAAGCACAGGCACTTTTCCCTACAAGAAATGGCCCTGGTGCTTGTTTCTTGGTCCACGCCGCATGAGCAGCCACTGCCACAGGCTCCTGCATACCACGCTGCTCCCACAGCTGCCACAGCTTCCCCACGGTGATGCAAAAGGCATCCTCCCTCCCTTAACAAAAATGGCCGAAGTGTTGGGAAGTGTCCCCATCCTGCCACCATTGTATTTGTCCCCGGAGAGCAATCAACACATGAGCAGGCTGTAAGCAGGAGGGGCTGCTGGAGAGGTGCTGTTTGTGACCGAAGGCGTTCTTGCTCCTTGTCTCTGATAATATCAGGAAAGTCACTACCACCTCCTGGCTATCCTTCATGCTCTTCCTAGAAGCTGTTCCGGTGGAAGTCAGCAAAGTAAAAAGGATGAACAACACTGCCCTCTACTGTCCAGAGAAGGAAGTGCCGCCATGAGAAGGCAGAAAGAACCTTTGCCCAGCATGTGGCCAGCCCAGATGAGTGGGGGCCTGCTTGGAGCATCTGAAGTTTTCCTGCCATCTTTTTTCACATCTATTGCTCCAGTGACTTTTTAACTGCTCCATGTGGTGTAAAAGGGAAGCAGCTTCCTCACAGCAGGTACTGAATAAGAAAGGGCTATTGGCCAGACAGTGGTGCACACCTTTAATCACAGCACTTGGGAGACAGAGGCAGGCGGATCTCTGTGAGTTCGAGGCCAGCCTGGTATACAGAGTGAGTTCCAGGACAGGCTCCAAAGCTACACAGAGAAAACTGTCTATCATCAAAACCAGTGTGGAATCACATTTGAGGCCCCAGATCCAAAGCTAGATGGCCAGACTGAAAGCCACTCTGGACTTCCAAGTCCCCTGCCTCAGTGCCCCCCTTAGTAAAACTGAGCACTCTGACAGTGTTCCTGGAAGTGGGAGGAGGCGATAGTGCCTACCACACCCCTAGATGTCTGGCACCAGGGCACCAAGTGGAGATCAGCTTCTGCTCTCCTCAAACCAGCTCTTCCGGGCTTGCCCATAATTTGACCCTCTTTCCCTCAGACCTTCTCCATGGGCAAGCAGAGCCTGAAGGGTCAAGGTCCCCTTTGCTCCCTGGAGGTCTAGAGTGAAGAAAAAAGGCGATGCAGAGGTCCCAGATGAGCAACACCAGGCAGCCCAGCCGGGAGAGTGGCCAGGCAGCACGCCACTCCCTAGCATGTGACATGGCAGTCACCAGCCTCACTCAGCTTCCCAGCGAGTACTAGTACAAGGACAGAATGGGAGGGACAGGTGTGTCACCCTGTACCTGACTGGCAGTAGCGGCCCTGGGTGTGGTCCTGTCATCCAGCCAGTGTCTGCTCTCATTGTGTCCTGCTGGAAATGGTCCCCCTCCCTCCTACACCTCTCACCAGGAAAACTGCTTGGTGTCCCTGGGAGCTACAGGCAGACAACTTCCTCCCTGAGGCTGTCCCTGACTGCCCCACCCCTAGCCTGTGTGTTCACACAACGCATGTCCACTCTGCTGAGCCCTTGCATGTGGAGCCCAGTGCCGGCCACTCTGTGGCCGTCCCCTTGAGTTCCTGCAGGCCAGAACCCCGTCTTCTGAGAATCCAACACCTACCAGGCACCTGGCAAGTGCTTGATAAATACTCCATAAATGACCCGAAGACAGAGCTGGATGGATTCACAGGGCAGCTGGGCCAGGGACAAAGCCAGGCTGAGGAGAACTGAACCCTGTCCTCGCCCAGGGAAAGGATGAAGCTGCTGCTGGCAGCTACGTGGACAGACTGGGGGGGGCGGTGCCAACCTGGCCTTGGGAGGGACCAACAAGTGAGGCAGGACCACTGTGAGGGAAGGGCAGGGGAGGTCGGGGTTACAGAGACTCACGTTTCTCCGCCTTTTCCCTGAGTATCTCCCTGTAGTTAGTTTTCTTAAGTTCGTCGATGATGCCCTTATTGGCGTCGTCCAAGGCCTGTGAAAGGCAGAGGAGCTGGTGAACCTTTTATTTTATTTTTTTGAGACAGGGCCTAACTTTCTATCCCTGGCTGGTCTCAAATTCCTGATCCTCCTGCCTCCCCTTTCCAAATGCGGGGATCACAAGCATGTACCACTATACCCGGCTGGTTGGTTTTGAAATAGTATCTCATCATGTAGCCCAAGCTGGCCCCAAAATCATGGTCATCCTACAGCTCACAGTCTTCTGCCTCAGCTGGGGTTACAAGCATCCCCCAGATCCCACTTTCTGTGGGGTCTTGAGGAGGTTCTATCTTTGTCACAGTTGTCTCAGAGGCTGTCACTGGGCACAGCACCTGCAGCTTCAGGGTGTATGGGCTGGATGCCCGCCAGGCATGACTACTCTTCTGCAGCACGGTTCTATGGCCCCCGCAGCTTTAGTGTCTGGAGACGGTGATGCAGGGAACATGGCTGAACTCTACATCTTACTAATTTTAGTTCACTTTAACCTAAGTAGGCTAGCAGCTGCCTCCTGAGCAGGACTAGGTCAGAGAAGGTCCTCGTTTTTTTGTTTGTTTGCCTGTTTTTTGTTTTTCCAGACAGGATTTCTCTGTGTAGCTCTGGCTGTCCTACAGCTAGCTCTGGAGACCAGGGCTGGCCTGGAACTCCCAGAGATCCACCTGCCTCTGCTGGGATTAAAGGTATGAGCCAGCCAGGCAATGGTGGCACACACTTTTAAGACCAGCATTTGAGAGGCAAGTGGATCTCTGTGAGTTCAAGGTCAGCCTGGTCTACAGATCAAGTACAGGACAGGCTCCAAAGCTACAGAGAAACTATCTCAAAAAAAAAAAAAAAAAAGAAAGAAAAGAAAAGAAAAAGAAAAAAGGCCGAGTGGTGGTGGTGCACGCCTTTAATCTCAGCACTCAGGAGGCAGAGGCAGGCGGATCTCTGTGAGTTCTAGACCAGCCTGGTCTACAGATCGAGTTCCAGGACAGTCTCCAAAGCAATACAGAGAAACCCTGTTTCGAAAAACAGAAAAAAGGGCTGGAGAAATGGCTCAGAGGTTAAGAGCACTGACTGCTCTTCCAGAGGTCCTGAGTTCAATTCCCAGCAACCACATGGTGGCTCACAACCATCTACAATTCAATCTGGTGCCCTCTTCTGGTATGTAGGCAGAACACTGAATATGTAATAAATAAATAAATCTTTAAAAAAAAAAAAAAAAAGAAAGAAAGAAAAAAAAGTTGAAGGTATTAAGCCACCACCACCTGACAAAGATGGTCCTCTTAAAGAGGGTTTCCAAGCCAAAACTTAAGGGTCAGCTGAGAACCTCCTAGAGTTGGCGAACCCAGGAGGACTTAGCAAATTCTAAACAGAGATGAAAGCATTTGATTATAGGCACAGGACAGTCTGCTCAGGAAAAGGCAGAAGCTATCTTTGGCTAGAGGTGGAAAGGGAACTGGGCTTTGGAATGCTGGAGAACCCTCTAGGGGGTTACCAAAGGCCTTCATGGCCCCACAGAGCCTTCTCCCAGAGACCAGGGCTGATGCAAGAAAAAGGGAATCAGGATGCTTCTAGCTGTCCCTGGAGGAGGTAGGGGTTTTCAAACTGCAAGTCCTAAAATTGGTACACTTGCTGCACAATCCTGGGAACTAGTTTGGATTCCAGAACCTGGGATTCCAGATGGGGGATCCTACTGAGTAAGACTCCCAGCTAGTGAGACTAGTCCTAACAGCCAGCTCTGGGTTTGCTGGGGAGGCCTGGCCTCGATGATTAAGAGGAAGAGCCATCAAGGATGACTGCCAATGTCAATCTTGGGCCTACACATGCACACTCATGTACACACGAGTACACGTACACACACACACATGCACCACAGGGAAAACACGAAAAGGAGGAGGAAGGAATGTCAATCAGCACCAAACAAAGAGAACCGGAAAGCCACATGTAAAGTGCAATATCGTCTGATATTCCCAGCTACTCTGGAGCCTGAGGCAGGAGGACCACTTGAGTCTATGAGGTTGAAACCAGCCTGGGCAATGTAAGGAGACCTCGTGCTAACGAATTAATTAATATATAAGAAGATAATAGTTGAGGGACCGGGTGCATAGTATATGGAAGAGGAGAATACGTTTAGTAAACGCTTTGTTTCTTTTCGGTTTTTTTTTTTTTTGCTTGTTTCCAATAAAATCACTGGGATCAGCTGCTATGGAGATGGACAGCAGTGGCAAAGACCAAAACCAGGACCCTGCCAGCATGTGCCCTGTGACGACAGGTGGGTAACAAGCAGCTGGAGAAGGCGAGGGGAGCTGAGGGCCCAACCACCCACTGCCACTCCATGTCCCCCGGCCAGCAAGTGACAAAGGCTCACACTGATGATGGCCTGCTGCGCCTCGTTGTTGTGGACCAGCTTGGCTCTCTCCAGGGCCTTCTCAAAGTTGTTCACGGCTGACTCGAAGTCTCTGAGCTTCACTGGAGAGGAACAGGGGAAGGCGGAGAGTAAACTGAGCCACTCTGCAGCCTGACAGAGCCCCTGCTCTGCCTGAGCACTCCCAGGACCCACTACAAGTTTGTGTGAGCTGGAATCAGCCTCAGGTGACCACCGAGCTGCCCTGCCCATTCTCTGAAGCATGTTCCTGGTCTGTGTGGCGCTAAGGACTGGAACACGGACTAGACTGGAGATCCCAGGCCCCGCAAAGGAGTCAGTGAGGGGAGAGGCTTTAGGATAGGGACAGAGCACACAACATGTATCTCCAAAGTGAGGAATGTGACCCCTGTGGAAACGGCTCCCAGACAGGCAATCCATACTTCTTAGATAGTTTTTAGATGTTTTGAAAATACTACAGAAGGCTGAGGACATGGCAGAGTACCTACATGTCATGCATGAAGCCCTGGATCTGACTCCTAGCACTTCATAAACGGACTCCCAGCACTAGGGAGGCTGAAGCAGGGGAAGTGTAAGAGCTTTATTGACTATGTCAAATTCAAGACCAGCCTGGGACACAAAGACCCTGTCTCAGGTTTTTTTTTTTTTTTTTGGTTTTTCGAGACTGGGTTTCTCTGTATTGTTTTGGAGGCTGTCCTGGAACTCACTCTGTAGACCAGGCTGGCCTCGAACTCACAGAGATCCGACTGCCTCTGCCCCCCCCCCACCCCCAGTGCTGTGATTAAAGGCGTGCGCCACCACCGCCCGGAGGTTTTTTTGTTTGTTTGTAGGCTTTTGTTGTTGTTGTTTTTTTCTTGTTTTTGTTTTTTTTGGTTTTGGTTTTTTTTCGAGACAGGGTTTCTCTGTATTGTTTTGGAGCCTGTCCTGGAACTTGATAGGTAGACCAGGCTTGGTCTCGAACTCACAGAGATCCACCTGCCTCTGCCCCCCCCCCACCCCCAGTGCTGTGATTAAAGGCATGTGTCACCACCGCCCGGCGTTGTTGTTGTTTTTTATACAAGCAAAACAAAATAGGGAGATGGAGGGATGGCTCAGTGGGTAAAAGCACTTGCTATGCAAGCATGAGAACCTGAGTTCAAATCCTCAGTACTTATGGAAAAGGCACTACATATGCCTGTAGCTCCAACATTGGGAGGCAGATACAGGTAGATCCCAGGAGTTCATTGGCCAGCCAACCTAAATGAAATGGGGAGATTCTGGTTCACTGAGAGACCCTGAGAGGAAGACATCATATATCTTCCTCTGACCTTGCATGTTTGTGCATAGGTGCATGTACATGGGCACACACGCGCATCGCAACAGCAACAACAATAATCCCACTGGAAAGAAAGGTGACATCATGGAGCCAGGTGTTAGTGGCTCATGCCTTTAATCCCAGCACTCGGGAGGCAGAGGCAGGAGGATCTCTGTGAGTTCGAGGCCAGCCTGGTCTACAAGAGCTGGTTCCAGGGCAACCTCCAAAGCCACAGAGAAACCCTGTCTCAAAAAAACAAAACAAAACAAAAAATAAATAAAAGAAAGGTGATGTGGAGAGGTGGGTGTGTGCTGCGGACAGCTGCTGGAACCTCCATTTCCCTCCTCTGGTAGAATGGAGAACAAGCGGTCTGCAGAGCAATCCCAGCCAGCTAGTGCTGGAGCTGAGACTGGACAGATTCACTGGAGACAGGGAGAAAGGTCTGTGCCCTTAAAAAGAGATCTATTGTGGGGCCTGGAGATGGGGCTCAGCGGAGATGCACACTACCAGAGGAAAAAAAGTAATCAGCACTCGTACCGAACTGTAAGCCCCCAAAGCAACAATAAGGACGGACCTAGCAAGACACACCCACTGCTACATAGTGGCAGAAAAGTTATGGGAGTAACCAACCACTTTTTTTTTTGAGGGGGTGGGCATTTAAGGCCCAATCTACAAGATGGAATCAAATACCTGGCACTGTTTTCTTTTCCTTTTTTGGTTTTTCGAGACAGGGTTTCTCTGTGGCTTTGGAGGCTGTCCTGGAACTCACTTTGTAGACCAGGCTGGCCTCGAACTCACAGAGATCCACCTGCCTCTGCCTCCCAAGTGCTGGGATTAAAGGCGTGCGCCACCAACGCCCGGCTTAATACCTGGCACTGTTAATGGAGCCAAGAACCTGTGGCCAGAAAAACCATAAAGCCCTAGGAGAGAATCTAAATGAGCAGAGCTTTCAACGGACTCCTAATGACTCAGCACATCTCTCAGCTCTCATCAGAGAAGCTTCCTCTTGCAGCAAATGGCAGTTAACACAGAGACCCACAACTGGTCAACCTGAAGAGGGTAATGGGCTGCATATAACGTGTGCTCAGAATAACAGACTGCATATAACATGTGCTCAGAATAACACACTGCATATAACATGTGCTCAGAATAACACACTACAAATAACATGTGCTCAGCCTAAGTAGGATGGCCATATCATCCCAAGTCTCGAGAATCTTCACAGAATAGGGAGAAGACAGACTGTAAGAGCCAGATGGATGATGTCAAGAAAATAGAGTTTTGTCGGACAGTGGTGGCGGTGCACGCCTTTAGTCCCAGCACTTTCGAGGAAGAGGCAGGCAGATTGCTGTGAGCTGGAGGCCAGCATGGTCTAGAGTGAGTGCCAGGACAGCCAGAGCTACACAGAAAAACCCTGTCTTGAAAAAGGAAAATTAGTTAATTAACTAAAACAAGACAATAGAGAAGCAAGTGAACAAAAAAATGGAGTGGCTTGTCTTCAAAATTAAGGTAAGAGTGGAAACACAGACAGTAGGCTCGGTCCCCGGGACTCTCATCCACAGGCAGTAGCCAGGCTTGATGCTGGAAGAAACAGGTAGGGTGGGACTGTCTGAGCCCATACCTTGGGCCTGTGCCACCAGAACACTGGCATTCAGCTGCCATTCCAGGTCCCCTTCCTCCTCGGCATACTGCTGAGACTTTTCACCATAGCTCTGGGCCTGCCATGCCTGTTCCAGCTCCAGGTAACAGCGTCCGATCTCATGGAACAGCCAGGTTTTCTCTAGGGTGGTTTTGGCTAGAGGAATCTTCTCCTCCCACCTGGGGAAAGAAGAAACAGGATCAGTTCCCTCCCAACTCTGCACTCAGCCACAGCAGACCCAGGCTTCCTGTGGGTGCAGATAAAACTCATTCTTTCTGGTCCAGAGTGGGATTAGTAAGTACCAACCTATTTCCAAAGTGCCAAAGCTATTTTGGTAACATCCGTGTAGTTTAGCAATAGAGCAATTGCTTGGTACATGTGAGAACCTAGACTAATTCCAGAGTCACAAAAACCAAACAGTAAGGCATTCAGGACTGGAGAGATGGCTCAGAGGTAAAGAATACTGGCTGCTCTTCCAAAGGTCCTGAGTTCCATTCCCAGCAACCACATGGTGACTCACAAATATCTGTAATGGGATCTGATGCCCTCTTCTGGTGAGCAGAAAGACAGAGCATTCATGTACATAAAAATCCATAAGTAAGTTAATCTAAAATCCTTTAAAAATCAAAGCAACTGAAAGAACACAAAAGCAATGCTTCAGAATTACTAGGTTAGGCTCAATGGTACAGATCTGTAATTCTAAGCATGGGGGTACAGACCTATAATTCCAAGGACGGAGAAGGAGAAGGCAAGAGATTACGAGTGCAAGAGCAGACAAAATGACCGAGAGAAGCTGCATTTCAAAATAAAAAGAAGGCTGGGGATATGTGTGAGTAGCAGTGCACTTGCCTAGCATGTATAAAGACCTAAGTTCAAGCTCTAGTACTGGGGGAGGGAACCCTAACTAAAATTCTATGAGAGACAAAGCAACACAGACAGAAGTTTGGAATGAAAAAAAGGACTAGCCAGGTGGTAGCTCACTCCTATAATCCCAGTACTTGAGGCTGCCTCAGCTACAAGGTGAGTTCGAGACCAGCATGGGTGGCATGGTGAGAGCCTGTCTCAAAAGTCACAGTGCTGGAGATGTGGCTCAGTTGGTAGGACGCTTGTCTAGCATGCATGAAGCCCTGTGTACAGCCAGCCTCACCACACAGGAAACGGGATCTATAGAGATGCAACGGGATCCAAGGCTCATGGTCATTCCACACTACAAAGAGAATCTGAGGCCAGCCTGGGCTACGTGAGGCTTCTATCACAACAAATAAATAAAGTGAAACAAAATAGATCTTTATCTTTGGGTGGTGGTTCTAATTTTCTTCCTTGACTTTTATTCTCTAAATTAGGATTGTAACAATCAGCATGTATTTATTATGAAACACATTATTACAAGAAAACACCGAGGGTGGGCAGGCTCTCATACTCCTCTCTCAGCATGTGATGTGGAAGGATGTTTGGTGACCAAGTATCAGAGGTCTGAAGGACAGGTGTTTCTCCAGAAAGGGTGGCTGCACCCAACGAGCCGGCTTGCCAGGTCTGGTCTATCTCTGAGGTTTCCTAGGGCTGTGCACACCCACCCCGCTGAGCAGATAACCAACCCCAGGGTTAGATTTCAAATTGACCATCTGGAGAGTTGAGATACTGTCCCCAGAGACCCCATACAGTCACACAGAGTCACAGAAGAGCCTCACAGATTGCTTGGTCTACCAGCTCCAAAAATAAAAGACTCACCTAGAAATGAGTTCCTAGCTGGTGACTCGCCCCCAGGGGGACGGGTCTTGCCACACAAGCCTGGTGACCCAAGTCTGAATAAGGAAGGAAAGATTTGACTCCACAAAGTTGTCTTCTCGCCACCGTGTGTACTTAGTGGGACACACACATGCCTCCTCCCCAGCCCACATCACACATACAACTTGCACACACAATAATAATAAATAAACATTTTTAAAAAGTGTCTTCGCCAGGCGGTGGTGTTGCACGTCTTTAATCCCAGCACTCAGGAGACAGAGGCAGGCGGATCTCTGTGAGTTCGAGGCCAGCCTGGTCTACAGAGCAAGTTCCAGGACAGCCTCCAAAACACAATACAGAGAAACCCTGTCTTGAAAAAAAATGGCCAGTCAGTGATGGGGGGTGGCTCAGTGATGGGGGAAAAAAGAACTTGTTGAGGTTGAGGTTGACAAGGTAGCATGCTGATGGAGTACCGGTGTGCTATATACCATGGGTTTAATCCCTAGCACCAAACAGAACAAAGACTAGGTCAGTCAGCTCTCACCCAGCAGGAGTCTAGGTTGGCTGGTCCTCCTTCCTTCCATCATCATTTCTCTTCTTCTTCATCCTTCTTTTTTGAGATAGGATTTTTTTTCCAAGACAGGGTTTCTCTGTAGCTTTGGAGGCTGTCCTGGAACTCGATCTGTAGACCAGCCTGACCTCAAACTCACAGAGATCTACCTGCCTCTGTCTCCTGAGTGCTGGGATTAAAGGCATTTGCCACCATTGCCTGGCCTTGAGATAGGATTTTGCTATGTAAGTGACTCTATCTGGCGCAGAACCCCGGTAATGCTCCTGCCTCAGGCTCCTAAGTAACTAGGATTACTGGCATGAACTGCCACGCAGGGTCTACTAGTGCCTGTTTGCCTGACTTTATGTCCCCAGACTGGAATCCCAGTATGAGGGAGGAAAATCCCAGTCCCGTGTAGGGAAGGGCAGTCGATGCTACTCACGTGTCAATGGCTTGCTGGAATTTCCCAACTCTGGCAAAAACTCTGCCAATATTGTCAAGGGCTCTTGATTTTGCATCTGGAAGGTCACTATAGAGAAGCAAAAATAGGCATTAAGTAGAAAACAGACATTACAGTGAAAACAGCAAACACTGGGCCCCGCTCCAGGGACTCAGGGTTTCAGGCAGAAGATGTCCAGGCTGGCTTCTAGGCCTTAGCCTGAGATGGGTATCATAAGAATCTTTCCAGAGTTGACAGTTTACAAAGATGTCCCTTCAGTCCAACAATTTTCCCTTCTAGAATTTACCTCAAGATTATGAAAAAAAGGCTATGATGTATGGATGAAGTGAAAAAGTCAAGGGGCTGGGGATGTAGTTCAGTCATGCAGTGCTTGCTTAGCGTGTGCAAGACCCTGAGCTTTCCCCAGTAACAGGGGAAAAATGTCTATGTGGGTCATTCCATGGAATGAATATACATGCATGCTTACACACATACACACACAAACACATAGAGAGAGAGAGGGAGGGAAGGAGGGAGACAGAGAGAGAGAGAGGACATTTAGCTAAGAAAAGTAGGCCCCAGGTTTAGGAAAAGACACGGTGTCAAAGGAATAGGTGAAGAATGCTAGTAGGTGCCCAACACCCCCTCTGGCCTCCACTGGCCTCAATGCGCACCCCCAAACATGTACACATGCAATCACATAGACACAAATACATACAGAAATAATTTTTTAAAAATCCTCTCGCCATCAAAAGGAACAATTAAAACTTAGCTTGAAGATCTTTTTTTTTTTTGGTTTTTTGAGACAGGGTTTCTCTGTGGCTTTGGAGGCTGTCCTGGAACTCACTCTGTAGACCAGGCTGTCCTCAAACTCACAGAGATCCACCTGCCTCTGCCTCCCAAGTGCTGGGATTAAAGGCGTGCGCCACCAACGCCCGGCTAGCTTGAAGATCTTAATTAGCTTTATTTTTGTTCTAGAATCTGGCAAGGCTTCATTCCACAAGATAGAAAAATTATTTCAGTGAACTGGAAAGAGCGGGTATATGACTAGAGAGGGGCTCGAGAAAACACAGACAGTGAGCAAGGTGCAGCCCAGCTCCTGCAGCCCCAGGGAGGGGCCTGTCTGCCCATTCTCAGCCTGACTGGGCCATGCTGTCCTGCCTGCTCAGAGAACACCAGGCCAAGCTGAATGAATGCAAGGAGAGACGGAAGAGGAGGCAAGAGGTTATCATACAGCAACCTGCCTGATGGAAGCTTTGATGGATGGCCTCAATGTGGGTGTGGCCCAGGCCTATTCAAACCAGAGAAAGCTGGAGCAGGAAGTGAAGACCCTTCAGGCCCAGGCTGCCCAGTCTGTCAAGCAGACAGGCCAGCGGATTGGAATGGTGGAGAAGTTCAACCAAGAATGGGAGGAAAATGGGGATGTGGAGAACGGGCCTCGGAGCAGCGAGCGAGACGTGTGTGTCGTTGCCACTGCGCTGGAGTACGTCCACAAGGGGCAGCTGCAGTCTGCACTGTCCTAGCCGCACTCCTCTCCCCAAAGCCCACCCCTCTCACCTCACTCTCCTGGACAGGAGGACAGGAAGGAGACTGGTGGGCCATGAATAAAATACAAGTTCCAAAAATAAATAAGGGAGGGAGGGAGGGAGGGACAGAGAGAAAGATGAGGGAGGGGGAGGGAAGAAAGAAAGAAAGCACAGACAAGCAAGCAAAGAGGATGGAGGGGGATGGAGGGGGTGGAGGGGGTGGAGGGATGGAGGGGGATGGAGGGGTGGAGGGGGATGGAGGGAGATGGAGGGGGTGGAGGGGGTGGAGGGGGGTGGAGGGGGTGGAGGGGGATGGAGGGAGATGGAGGGGGATGGAGGGGGTGGAGGGGGATGGAGGGGGGTGGAGGGGGTGGAGGGGGATGGAGGGGTGGAGGGGGTGGAGGGGGATGGAGGGAGATGGAGGGGGTGGAGGGGGATGGAGGGGGATGGAGGGGGTGGAGGGGGATGGAGGGGGATGGAGGGGGTGGAGGGGGATGGAGGGATGGAGGGGGATGGAGGGGTGGAGGGGGATGGAGGGAGATGGAGGGGGTTGAGGGGGATGGAGGGGGATGGAGGGGGTGGAGGGGGATGGAGGGATGGAGGGGGATGGAGGGAGATGGAGGGGGTTGAGGGGGTGGAGGGGGTGGAGGGGGTGGAGGGGGTGGAGGGGTGGAGGGGGTGGAGGGGGTGGAGGGGGTGGAGGGGGATGGAGGGGGTGGAGGGGGATGGAGGGGATGGAGGGGTGGAGGGGGATGGAGGGGGTGGAGGGGGTGGAGGGGGTGGAGGGGGTGGAGGGGGTGGAGGGGGATGGAGGGGGTGGAGGGGGTGGAGGGGGTGGAGGGGGATGGAGGGGGTGGAGGGGGATGGAGAGGAATGGAAGGGGATGGCCATTTCCAAATTACTTTCCATCTAATGCTGAGACACAGAGATGAAAAACAAACAAACAAACAAGATGGGCTAACATCAGGTTACTTCCTGTTAGTTTTTTTTTTTAATGTAAGGTTTAAGACAGAGAGAAACTTCATTATCTTGCCAATTAAAACTGGGTTCTTTTGTTTTGTTGGTTTTTCTTTTTTTTTTCTTTCTTTTTTTTCTTTTTTTTTTTCTTTCTTTTTTTTTTTTTTTTGGTTTTTCGAGACAGGGTTTCTCTGTGGCTTTGGAGGCTGTCCTGGAACTAGCTCTTGTAGACCAGGCTGGCCTCGAACTCACAGAGATCTGCCTCCCAAGTGCTGGGATTAAAGGTGTACACCACTAATGCCCGGCTTAAAACTGGGTCGTTTAAGACAGAGAGAAACTTTATTATCTTGCCAGTTAAAACTGGGTCGTTGGCCGGGCGTTGGTGGCAGGCAGATATCTGTAAATTCGAGATCAGCCTGGACTACCAAGGGAGTTCCAGGACAGCCTCCAAAGCCACAGAGAAACCCTGTCTCAAAAAAACAAAACAAACAAACAAACAAAAACCAAAAACTGCCCATCACAGTGGCTCACACACGTAATCCTAGCACTCAAGAGGCAGCAGGATCAGGAGTTCAAAGCTAGTTGTTGCTGCTAGACTGCTGCTAGAGGTTAGCCTGGGCTACACGAGAGACCCTGTCTCAAAAACAAAACCAAGCAAAACAAAACAAAAGAAAAAATACGACCCTGTTGTGTGTCTGCTTGCACTGCAGACTGAACCCTTCTCTAACCCATGACTTCAGAGTGGCCCTCCTAACTAACCCTGAGCAAGCACCACCAAACAGTTAAACGAGGGGGTGTGATAGATAAATACGCTGTGCTTTCTTAATTTATTCTTAATATTAACGTGAGATGCCAAGAGTGGTGGTATATACCTTTATGTCTTTAATTCCAGAACTCCAGAGGCAAGTGGATATCTGAGTTTGAAGCCAGATTGGGCTATACAATGAGTTCTAGGTGAGCTAGGGCTACATAGTGAGACCCTGGTCCACAGTAGTGAGCTGAAAATATATATAGCTCAGTGTTAGAGTACTTGGCTAGTATGCATGAGGCCTGGGTTCCAGCTCTACCATCAAAAAAATTTTTTTTGGTTTTTCGAGACAGGGTTTCTCTGTGGCTTTGGAGGCTGTCCTGGAACTCACTCTGTAGACCAGGCTGGCCTCGAACTCACAGAGATCCGCCTGCCTCTGCCTCCCGAGTGCTGGGATTAAAGGCATGTACCATCAAAAATTTAAAAAGTAATAAAAACTAATAGCAAGGGCTGGGGACATACACAAGCCTGGCATTTGATCCCCAGCCACCATGGAAACCTGGCATTATGGTGCACCTTCATAATCCCAACTGTCAGGAGGTTACGGAGTTCAAAATTATCCTCAGCTATCTAGTGAGTTCACGCTAACCTGGGCATCTTGAAACCCTAGCTCAATGCAAACAACCACAAACTACCAGCACCAAGAAGACACACAAGTCACATCTCCATCCACCCAAGAAACGAATGAGGGCTGCAGTACTGGGAAGCCTCTTGGACAAGTCACTGGCTAGCCTGTGCGGCTGACTGGAATGAGGGGGGGGACACACAGAACTCACCTAGACTAGGGTTTCCAGCTAAGGCCCTGTTTGTGGATGCTGAAAAGGCAGAAACTAGCCATGCCAAGTGGTCTGTGCTTGTAATTGTAATCCCAGCTCCTGGGAGAGAGAGTTAGGAGGATCAGGAGATGGAGGCCGGCCTGGGCTACGTATAGAAATCCTGTCTCAAAACACACAAAAATAAAAAGGGAAGGGACATTGTCAAGAACACTGCTGTGTACCCAGTCACTTAGCACATGACAAGGTCTGATGACAAGAGAATGACCCTCTTCCAAAGCCCAGTGTCTAAGAGGGCCGATAGGACACCAGGGCACAGGGAGGAACAGGGGTGGGATTTCTGTACCCTTCTCCCCATCCCTACCCCCTCTCAATGCCCAGGGCTTTTCTAGAGTGAGAGCCTCGTTTAAAAGCTGAAGACTGAGTGGTGGTGGTTTGACACGGCAAGCTCTGAGGAAAGGGGCACCTTGCTGAAGGAGCCACAGCTGGGACACTTCTGACCTCAGGCCAGAAGGCCAGGAGCCTCCTGGGCATCCTTGAGGGAGTGGCTACCTAAGGCTTAGTAGGGACTCCTGGAGCAAGATGTGTGGGAGAGACTCAAGGGACTGGCTGGAACTGGTTAAATGGGGGATCGCTACAGAACACTCAAAGAGTAGTGCCTTGGAGTCTGTTAAACGTGTAGGTCTGGGCCTTGTAGGGAAAAAGTAAGACAGTTTTGTCTTTTGGAGACAGTCTGACTAGGTCGTCCTGAGAGGATTAGAACCCACAGAGATCCACCTGCCTCTGCCTCCCAAGTGCTGGGATTAAGATACTCAGAACAGCCGGGCGTTGGTGGCGCACGCCTTTAATCCCAGCACTCGGGAGGCAGAGGCAGGCGGATCTCTGTGAGTTCGAGACCAGTCTGGACTACCAAGCGAGTTCCAGGACAGCCTCCAAAGCCACAGAGAAACCCTGTCTCGAAAAATCAAAAAAAAAAAAAAAAAAAAAAAAAGATACTCAGAACAAGGGCTGGAGAGATGGCTCAGAGGTTTCTGAGTTCAATTTCCAGCAACCACATGGTGGCTCACAACCATATATAATGAGATCTGGTGCCCTCTTCTGGCAAGTAGGCATAATAAATAAGTAAATGTTTTTTAAAAAATAAAAAAAATAAAAATAAATAAAAATAAAATAAAATAAAATAAAAAAAATAAAAAAAACTCAGAACACACACACCTTATTTATCCATCTTGACCCCTGTTAGGTGGCATTATTATTATTATTATTATTATTATTATTATTATTATTATTATTATTATTTTGGTTTTTCAAGACAGGTTTCTCTGTGTAGCTTTGGAACCTGTCCGGGAACTTGCTTTGTAGACCAGGCTGGCTTCATTCTCACAGAGATCCACCTGCCTCTGCCTCCCGAGTGCTGGGATTAAAGGCGTGCGCCAACACCGCCTGGCCGTCAGGTGGTGATTATTAGACATTCAACACAGATGAAGAAACTGAGGGGTTGAACAACTCAACCCCACACATCTCTAAGTGACAGAGCTTGGAACCAAGGACATAGCTATCTCCAGCTCTGGGTCCACCCCACCCCTTGCTCTATTCTAGAATGGCTAATATGTGATCTTCCACCTTGGTCCTTGGAGACACACAAGAAATCTCCCAGAGTGGACAGCTCTGAGGGTGTGACTAGGTGAGGAGAGGGCAGGGACCAGTATGCACAAGGCTGTGAGTTGCACTACGGGCAGTGCGTGCTATGGCCCAGAAAGCAGCGGCCTGTTGTCCTGGGGAGCCTTGGGTTTTGGGAAGAGCCCGTCTCTGGATGTGTTGACCGTACTGTTATGGTGGTTCCCTGTTGGTCAGTAGGGAAGGACAGTCCTCAGACAAAGGGCTCTGGAAATCTGGGGGAATGGCAAGAGAGAGCCCACCAAAACAGGGAGAGCAGCAGCTGTGGCTAAGAACTGAGGCACTGAGTGAAAATGGGGTGGTCCAATTTGAACATGGGGTGCTTCCCCAAAGGGCTGGTGTGTTAAAGCTGGGTCCCCACTTGATGGCACTAGAGAGGAGAGATTCATCAGGAGCCCTGACGGGTTCTTTCGGGAGGGCTGCTGAGAGAGGCAGAATCTGACCAGGGGAAGCAGGCCACTGGGACATTCTTTTTTTTTTTGGTTTTTCGAGACAGGGTTTCTCTGTGGCTTTGGAGGCTGTTCTGCAACTTGCTCTTGTAAGAACAGGCTGGTCTCGAACTCACAGAGATCTGCCTGCCTCTGCCTCCTGAGTGTTGGGATTAAAGGTGTGTACCACTAACACCCGGCCCCCAATGTGCTTTTTAACATGGTCACAATCGCAATTTAAAGGCTAGGCCACTTTTTGTCAGATAACCAGACCTATATCGGTTCATTGCTATGTTCCCAATGCTAGAAATATCTGATATGCCTTGGGCCTGGTACAAGAATTAAAAAAAAATCCCCAAGAGACAGACCACTTGGAGTTCATTGGAATTTTGAGCTATTGTACCCCAGTGTGTGGCAAAAGAAAAAAAAATAAAGCTACCAGCGTACGTTTCCTTTCTTTCTTCAGCCCTGCGCTGCAGGACAGAAAACGGGAACGAGGCTATGAGCAGCCCTGGCAAAGGTTCTTAGAGGCCTAGGGACCTTGGCCATCCTAGGGGACTCACTATTCCTTGGCGATCTCCAGGTCCTTTCTGTGGCTATGCAAGGCGGCCACCATCTGCCCCAGCTCAATCTGGGCGTTACCTATGCAGCTGTACAAGTTCCCAACAAGTTCATCCTTGTTTGGCACCTCGTCTTTGTTCCATTCCAGAACCTTCTTAAGTACTTTCTCGGCCTTTTGCAGGCTCCCTTCAGCACTGCCGCTGGTCAACACTGGGAAGAGAAGGAGGTGACATGGAGGTGAGGGCGGCCTCCTCACTGTGGATGGGCTGACCCCTCTCCTCCCAGATGATGTCCATCCGCGGGTCCGCAGGGGCCAGAGCTCAGGTTATGGTGTTGCTCCCTCCCCCTGCCCTGAGGACACCACCCACACATGTCAATGTCTTCCAGGCTCTTGAGGATGTAGTGGGCTGTCTGCGAGGGGCTGCGCTTCCGGTCCCTCAGCCACTTCTCTTGCATCAGCTTCCGGTCCCGTTCCCTGGCATAGATGGGCTTCTGCTGCCTCCAGAAGTTGCTCCGGGTGTCCAGGTAGTTGATGCCACTCATGATGAGGTCCTCCACGGTCAGGCCACCCTTGATGGTGCCTTTGATGAGGTCTATGGGGAAGGAGTTTGAGGGGGGCGTCACTGAGGTCACACATGTAAGTAAGGGGGTCATCTTTTCTAGGACTGGAGTCCCTGCTCTAGGGCCCAGTGAGGGCCTCTGTCTGCTGTGTAACAGTGAGGGGAGAGGGAGTATGTGGGTGGGATGGAAAGGGTCTCTCAGCCAGGAAGAGATCAAAGGCACATTTTTGGGACAAGCCTTTCATGGCAAAGTAGGAGGAACAAGAGGTGTCGCCTGCACAACTCTCTGAGAAGCCTGTTCTCAGGGGGTCCCTCCTTTCAAGCTGTGTCTCAGAAAAAAAGGGGAGTCTGAATGTAAAACTTGGACCATGTTGCCAGTCCTCATTGAGTAGCCAGGAGCCAAGTAAGCTAGTGCATGCTGGGAGCTGTAGGGGAGTGCCTTCATCCTGTCTGCTGTGTGGCCAGAGATTAGAGCCAATTGCAGTGATGCAGGGCCACTGCTCAGGCCACTCTTGCCCTCCACAGCAGGTGCTCTGGAGAGCAGGAAGCCTTCAGGCCTGTTACCAAGGAGATGTGCCAGCGGTAAAGCCGTGTGCCACAACCCTGAGGAAAGCCCTGCAGATGACTTTAGGAAACCAGTTCTGGAGAGAAGGCCTTCCTTTCCCAGGCGAACCCTGCTCGGCTTGCCCGTGCTCAGCAGTACCCCCACCCCAGGTTAGTGGCAGGTAACTGTGGGCTCTGTCAGCACAGTGTGATGGGAAGTATAACGGACGGGATCCGAGGGACGACACCACCATTGGCTTGTTTGTCACCTTGGACATTCAGTGAATTCTATTTCCTTATCTGTGACATGAGGGATGAGCCACCTGGCATTTCAGAGCATGCAGTACTAATGTGCTCAGATCCCAGCGCCTGTCCATCAGGTTCCTTTACGCTGTTGAGAGTACAGCGGTGGCTATGATTTGCATCTTGAATGCTCCTCCCTCAATGGTCGCCTGTATTGAAGGCTTGGTTCCTAGCCCGTGTACTACTGGGGCGTGGTGGGAGAACCTTTAGGAGGTAGGCTGTTGGGTACATGCCTTTGAACAGGGAACTGAACACGGGAATCTCTGCCTTTTCCTCTGTCATTACTTCCTGGCCACCTCTGTCCTACTTAGGTGCTCCCCCTACAGCGTTCCGCCTCACCTCAGGCCCCAAAACAACAGAGTTACCCGAATACCTGACTATGGAATCTCTGAAACTTAAGCCAAAATGATTTATTTATTTATTTTGGAAACAGGGTCTCACTATAAAGCCCTGGCTGTTCTGGAAGTTGCTGCATAGACCAGGCTGGCCTTAAACTCAGAGACCCACCTGCCTTTGCCTCTGTTGCTACTGCTATTAAAGGTATGAGCCACCGTGTCAGACCCATATTTTCCCTTCTTACAGGCTGATTATCTTGGGTGTTCCGTCACAGTCATGGAAAGTTGGCAAAGGAGCCCACAAACTTAAAAGCAGTGGCCCCAAATGTGAACTCCTTGGGTTCAGTCCTGAGCCGTCCTGTTGCCTAGTCCCATGGACTTGAGTCAGGTGAGAACACCATGAGACACAGCCACAGGTCTGTGTCAGTTGCATTCCCAGACAGGCTGTGCCATAAGCAACCACCCAGGACTTCCACTGCCCCAGCCCTGGGGGCCACACCGGGTCTGAGACCTTCATCCAGGAGGAGCTTCTCCAGGTACTCCTTGTCCACGTACAGCTCCCCCAGCAGCTGCCGGACCGTCTTCTCACTCTTGAGCGAGCCCTTTCGCTTGCTTTCGCGCTTGGTGCTGTATATGAGTTGCTTCACAGGTAGAGGCTTCTGTTGGGCTCTCTTACTCTGGAAAACGGAGCAATATCCAACGGGGCCTCAACAAGACTGGGAGTCCGAGACTCCGCCCTCCTGCTTCTTCATGACTCTCTACGGGCTGAGAGCCGTGAGGCATGAGGAGTGCTTGGTTGGGCACAGCTGGATTTCCCAAGATACCTCTGGAGCTTGGGCAGAATCTCACGACAGCCCATGAGGGGCAGAAATGAAATGCTCCCGGGCAGTAGGGTGTGGAAAGCACACGGGGGCCCTCAGAACGAGGCACCTTACCTCAGCTTGTTTGCTTAAGAAGGAGAGATCTCCTTTGTTCTCCAGCTTAATTGAAGAAGGACCTGCAGAACAGAGGCCGTAACTCAGCTGGGCCAACCCTCTCAGGCATGACCTATCACATACTTCTCTGTGGAAATGGCTGCCTCTGGCAAGGAGATGGCGGAGGCTGTGGCAGAGCTGGCTCTGAGCCACCCTAACACACAAATGGTGCAGTGTTTGGTGAAACACTCTCTTAGACACTTGGCACCCCCACTAGCCCAAGGCCATGGCAGTCAGATTTCCAAATAAAGGGAGATCCGGGATTCAGGGAGACACTGTCACACGCCATTTCCACACTCTGTTATCCATAGGGACAAGCTCTCCCTCACCTCCCTCTTCTCTCTGCTGTGGAGCTAAAAGATTAAAACCAGCCCTTGAAGCTGGGCTGATGGTGGCCAACACCTTTAATCCCAGCACTTGGGAAGCAGAGGCAAGCGAATCTTTATGAGTTTGAGGCCAGCCCTTCTCTACAGAGCTAGCTCCAGGACAGGCTCCAAAGCTACAGAGAAACTCTGTCTCAAAAAACCAAACCAACCCACCAAAAAAACACCAGCCAGCCGCTGATACTTATACGATGAGGGAGGAGACAGCCTCAGGAAAGCTGAACTCAGGATCCTAGTCTAGTGTGCGTAAGACTTCAGGTTCTGCAAAGGACACCTTCAGAGCCACCCTCTTAGCACGGCTAGAAGGTCACTCCATGGCATCAGCAACAGTCACATCCAAGTGTGGTAGCTGCTTGCACACTGCACCTCAGACCTTCCCTACACCTTCCTGGATAAGGACACAGCCCCTTGCTCACTCACTTCCCACTGAGTTGTTGATGGCTTCTTGGGCTTTCTGAATTCCAACTTTGAATTCCCGATCAGGTCTCAGTTTGTAGCCTCGATGATAGAACACCAAGGCAAACTCAAAGTCTCCCATGGTGTACAGAGTCTCAGCCTTCTGTAAAATCCCCTGGAATGAAAGACAGTCAAATCCAGATGGAGAGACAAGAAGACCTCAAAGGGCTCGTACGGTGGAATGGAAGGGTCTTAGATTGGAGGTGAAGGCTGGACTACAAGAGGCAGGGAGCCAGGCAAGTACTGAAGAGAAAAGGGCATCAGACAGCAAGCAATCCAGCTGGTTCTTCAACTACCAGTAACCAGAGTCTACTGTAATGGAAATGGCGAAAGCAAGGCTGAGTCCTCCCACCCAGCAGTCAGTCTGTCACCTTGCAGAAAGTTGGGTCATTCTGGAGTGAGGCCTCAGCATCATTCAAGGATTTCTCCAAGTCTCCCATCTTCAGGTAGCACTTTGAGCGGGCAACCAGACAGTTCTTATCTCCGCTTTGAAGGTGAAGAGCCTGGCAAAGGAAGCGCTCTGATGGGCAGATGCCAGGAAGAGCAAGACAGCAGCCTGACCTGATAGGACAGCCCACAGTTCCTGCAGTTTCGAGAGGACCCTTTAGGTCGGTACACCGGCCTCTGAGTCTCATCAGACACAAGCAGTCCAACCCAGGCTTTGCTCAGTGAACATGAACATCTATCTGCATGCTGGCTGATACTGGAGAAAGCTGAATCTCGGTTACTTAAGGAAGGCACTGGCTGAGACGTGGGAATCGGCTATGCTGTGGATGTACGATTATCTGCCAAATTCTTCTAGTTCATTCCAGCAATACAACTTCAAGATGGTTTGTATATACCAAGCTCAGTAGCAAAGCTCAGTTGGCTGTGTACTATTTGCAATGTAAATGTCAAAGTCCAATGCAAATAAAATAGATTTTAGGACCATCTAAAACTTGGGTTATTTACCCACTAGCCTTTGTATGAGAGGACTTCATGAAACTTGGGGTGTCCTCCACCTTTTTGTTGTTGTTGTTGTTGTGTTGTTTTGTTTTTGGAGACGGGGTTTCTCTGTGGCTTTAGAGGCTGTCCTGGAACTAGTTCTCGTAGACCAGGCTAGTCTCGAATTCACAGAGATCTGCCTGTCTCTGCCTCCCAAGTGCTGGGATTAAAGGCGTGCGCCACCACCCGGCCAAGTTCTCCACATTTAAATTGTACTCCTAGCTCAAGTCTTCTCTCCCACTCTTCCCCCAGCCCCCATTTGTTGATTTGTTGTTGTTGTTTGGTTTGGAGAGATGATTTCAAACTGTAGCCTTGACTGGCCTGGAGCTTGCTCTGTAGATGCACCTGGCCAGCCTTTAAGTACTCTGCAATCTTCCGGCTTCTACCTTGTGGGTGCTGGAATAAAAGCGTGTGCCCCATCCCCAGCTCTTCTCTTACTGTAGCCTCTTTTGAGTAACTGGGATTATAGATGCATGCCATCACACCTGGTTTGTGCCCTCTGTTTTTGGGGGGCAACCTCACTTTTTTGGGGGAACTAAGATGGAAACATGAGGGAGACAGAAGCCATCTGGGGTCCCTAGTGTAAGGACGGGCACCTTCCCTCACTCTCCATGTCCTGGCATATTTTGTTTTTTATTTTTATTTTTTAATTAAATTTGTGTGCATGTGCAGGTCAGAGAACAATCTGTGAGACTTGGTTCTCTTCTACCAGGTGGGTATGGGATCAAACTCAGCTCTTCAGGCTTGGCCAAAAGCACCTTTATCCCCTGAGCCATTTTGTCAACCCAGTTTCGTTTGCCTCTTGAGACAGGGCCTCTCATGGTCCAGGATGGCTTCAAAGTAATTATGTAGCTGAGGCTGCCCCAGTACTCCTGATCCTCCTGCCTCAGCCGTCCTCAAGAGCTAGGTCTACAAGTGTGTATCATCACACCCAGCTAGGTCCTTCTCCTTCTGATTGAGACCATTGCAGCTGTGGGGAATATCTCTTCTGGTCTTGGAGTAACCAGGACAGAAAGAGAACATTGCCCCGAGGGGAGGGTGGCTATGTATGAGAAGACCTCCCGTTCTAGGAAAGGCGGGTATCAGACAGGCATCCCCTAGGCTTCAGATGGTGTCTGCCCTTGCTGAGACCTTCCTTCTTTTTTCTAGGAAGAGGAAGCTGCTGCTATTTTTCCTAGAATGGTAGGGCTTCTCTCCATAGCTACTTGCCCTTGGGGTCATCTTCGCTTTCTGTTTCAGTTGCTCCAGGATCAGACAACTCTGGGGCTAGAGGGGAATGGGCTGGGTTAGGACTCCTGAACTCAATCTGCCTATCTGGTCATCTTTTCTCTTGAAGAGTGTGACAAAGGGGAAGAGGCAGGGACTGGGGAACAGCTGAGAAGCTCAAGTTCATGGAAATCTTGGGTTCAGTTAGTAGGTTGACACTCTAAGTGTTTTATTTATTTATGGATTTATTTTCGTTTTCATTTTATGTGCATTGGTGTTTTGCCTGCATGTATGTCTATGTGAGGATGCTGGATGCCCTGCAACTGGAGTTACAGACAGCTGTGAGCTGTCATGTGTGTGCTGGGAACTGAACCCAGGTCCTGTGGAAGAGCAGCCAGTGCTCTTAACCACAGAGCCATCTCTCTAGCCCCCATATAAGGGTTTTTGTTTGTTTTTCTGGTTTTTCAAAATAGGGTTGTAACAACTCTCGATGTTCTGGAACTTGCTTTGTAGACCAGGCTGGCCTCACCTTGAATTCACAGAGCTCCTCCTGCTTTTGCCTCCCACGTGCTAGGATTAAAGATGTGTGCTACCACTGCCTGGCGGTTGCTTTGTTTTTGTTTGTTTTTTTTTAATTTGGTTCTTTTGAAACAGTTTTGCTATTTAGCCCAGGCTTGTCTTGAATTCATTATGTAGCCTAGGCTGGCTCCAAACTTGAAATTCTCCTGTCTCTGTCTCCTGAGTATTGAGACGACAAGTACCACCATGTCCTACTGCTATGCCATTTAAAATAAGTAGAGTTAGGTATGGTGGCACACACCTTTAATCCTAGCACTCTGAAGGCAGAGTCAAGTGGATTTCTGAGTTTGAGGTAACCTGGTCTACAGAGCAAGTTCCAGGATGGCCAGGACTACACAGAGAAACCCTCTCTTGAAAAACAAACAAAAAGAAATTAGATACAAGTTATGGGCTGGTCATGTTGCCTAGCATGTGGAAGGGTTTGAGTTCAGGTACCACAGCCTGTATATGCTTTCTAGCAAAGGAAATTGTTATTTTGCTAATTTGTTTTTGAGCCAGGGTCTCTGGTATTCTAGGCTGGCCTTGAACTTGCTAAGTAGCCATGGATGACCTTAAATCTCTGTTTTTCCTGTCTCTGCCTGCCAGGTGCTTTGGTTTTTTGTTTTTCTGTTTTGTTTTGTTTTAATTTTTTATGTGCATTGGTGTTTGGTCTGCATGTATGTCTGTGTGAGGGTGTCGGATCCCCTGGAACTGGAGTTACAGATAGTTGTGAGATTCTGGGAGCTGGGAATTGAATCTGGGACCTCTGGAAGAGCATCTCCCCAGCCCACAGGTGCTCAGTTTTAAGCAGGATCAAAACCAGGGCTTCATGCATAGGAGGTAAACACTTTGCCAACTAAACTACGTCTCCAGCAAAAGGAAAAGGTTGTAAGAACATTTTACAACGTGGAGGTTGGCACCTCAGGCAACTGGAGTCTGAATGTTCCACTCAGAGGATTCCCCCCCCCAACCTGCTAGCTTAGTGCAGTGACCTTGGGCGTATTACCTAACTTCTATATCAACTTCCTCATCTATAAAGTAGAGCAGAGAGACAACAGTAACCCCCCCCACACACACACAGACGGGCACTGCGTTTAGCAGTTTGTCTAGTATTCTAGAACAACTCCCATCCCTTTAGGGTGCTATGGTGCAATTTTTAGTAAGATTACCACAATATACTAACTTCACTGAGTACTTTCTTACAAGGAAGCCTATGCCGGAGACTTTGTGGCCTTGACATGTAGTCTCTCAAGCAATCTGCAGCTACGGATGGGAAACTGAGTTTATCAAGAGAGGTAATCATGAAACATTTAAGTGCCACTAACTGGCAGACATAAGTGACAAATGGGAAAAAGTGCAAAGTTCAGGGTTTTTATGACAGTGGTGTATCACAGGAACCAGGAATATTAGACACAAAATGGGGTATCAGACATCATCAGTACTTCACACTGCTGGTGATGAAAATGGTGATGGGGTGGGGACAGGAGATGGTTTCAGCAGTTAGGAACACTAGCTGTCTTCCAGAGGACCTAGGTTCGAGTCCCAGCACCCACATGGCAGCTCACAGCCCCTCCATAACTCTAGTTCCAGAGGATGTGATGTCCTCTTCTGACCTCCAAGAGCAATGTATGCATATATATACAGGCAAAACACCCATACACATAAAAATATTTTAAAATGGTGATGGTTAATAGCACTTACTACTCTTGCAGAGGACCCATGTCTGGATCCCAGCAGTTATATGATAGCACACAATGGTCTGTAACTCCAGTTCCAGGGAATTCAATGCCCTCTTCTGGCTTCCACAGGCACCAGGCATGCATGTAATATGCATACATACAAACAAATATGCATATACTGGCGTTCTCTCTCTCTCTCTCTCTCTCTCTCTCTCTCACACACACACACACACACAAACACACACACACACACACACACACACACACACACACACACACACAAATCTTTTTTTAAAGGTATTGAGCCAGGTAGTGGGATTCCAGCACTCCATAGGTCAACTGCTCGATAAGGAGTTGGCCTTTGGAGTATACAAGGGTACCAACTTCCTAAGGTGGCACACACCCGCAATCATCACGCAGGCAGAAGACTGTTGCAAGTTTGGGACCACCCTGGTCTACAGAACAAGACCCTATCTCAAAAGTGGAGGGGAGGGAGGAGGAAGAGGGGGAAGAAGAGAAAAAAAGGGTGGAGGAGGAGGAGTAAGAGGAGGCAGAGGAGAAAGAAAAGAATAGGAGGAGGAAGAGAGGAAAAGGGGAGGAGGCAGAGAGAAGAGGAGGATGAGGAAGGAAGAAGGCGAAGCAGTGATAGGTTCAAGCGCGACTCACGTTGCTGAAGCTCTGGGCGGCCTTAGAATACTCCCCGCACAGATACAACCTCTCGCCCTCTGCCATGTAAGAGGGAAAGGTGCTTCGCAAGGTATCAGCTTCGCCGTCGGACATGATCACCCGACTTTTGGAGATGCTGAAGCGGATCCAGAAAGCGAAAAGAGGCAGGAGAACGCCTCCTCCAGGCTTGTGGCAGCCCGGTCTCTTAGCAACACACAGACATAGTTTGACTTCCGGCCCCTCCCCTCCCCCAGGCGGTGTTAGGATCCTGGGCGAACCTGCCCATTGTGCACATGCGCGTGCGTGGCCATGCTGCCCACCGGTCGGACAAGTGTTGAGCGCGTGGACGGCGACTGCAGGGCGGTGGCGCTCCAGAGTGACCACTGTTCCATGCAGCTTGCTTCTCTCCCCAGTCGCCACGTGGAAAGCCTCTCCGACAAGGCAGCCAAGAAAATGAGAATTGGAGGCAAAATTCCAAGTAGGCATAAGGCTTATGCGCTCCAGGTCCCATCAGAAAGGAGAGAGAATTTTGGACTTGGAGTCAGAGTGCTTGGGCAGATCTTCGCTTCTGTCATATTCTAACCGCGTGATCCTGGGCCAAGCGCACTAGGGTACTGTAAAGTATGTGTTCCACCTGCGACATAACAAAAAAATAATGGAGCCCTCAGGGGAGGATTTGCATGAGAATACAATGGAGAGTAGGATAGGTTTAGCTTTCAATTTCACACATTTACTGAACTATTTGTTTGCTAATAGCAAGTCTATTTCTGTTCTGACAAAACCTTTCCCATAGATTCAGAACCACCAAGAGATGGAGAGAGAGACAGAGACAGAGAGAGAGAGAAAGTGGACTAATGATTGTAGAAATAGCTCAGTCGGTAAAGTGCTTGCCAAGCAGGAGGCTCTGCTTGGATCCCCAAAATCCAGGCATGGTCCAGTCGCAATGTATGTAGCCTGGCGGTGCTAATGGGTTCCTGGCTGTTCACATGTGGTAAAACTCACTGAATTCCACAAATGACATCTGTGCAGTTCAGCTTGGGTTTTGCTTGCTTGTCAGTTTTGTTGTTGTTGTTGTTGTTGTTTTGTTTGTTTTCCTTTTCTTAGTCCTAGAGATCGAACCTGGGGCCTTGTGCAGGCTAGAAAGCACTCTGCCATTAGCCTATCTGTTCCTAGTCCCGTTTTTTAGTAATTTTGTTTTATTGATTGATTGATGATTCAGTTAGTGAGGGTATCATATATACTAGCCTGTTCTTGAATTCCTTGTGTAACTCAAGATAGACTTGCCCATCCTGGCTGCCACTTTCTGAATGCTGGGATTACAGGTTTGTACTGCCACACCAAGTTCATGTGTTGTCAGAGAGCAAACCCAGGATTTGGGGCATGCTAGGAAGCAGTCTATCAACTGGGTTATGTGCACATTGTGTTTTTGAGACAGGGTGCGAAATTTCACAGACTGGCCTTGTAACTCTGTCTATCCCAGGTAGGCATTGAGCTGGTAGATCCTCAGCCCCCATCTCCGGGGCACTATTGTACTCCAAGGCCTGTGTGCAGTTTACCATACATTAATTACATCTCAATGAAGCTATTTTACTTTATGTGTATAGGTGTTTCTGCTTGCTTGTGTATGCCTATTGCCCACAGAGGCCAGAACAGGGCATCAGAAGCCCTGGAACTGGAGTTACAGGCAGTTGTAAGCTGCCATGTGGGTACTGGGAATTGAACACTTGTCCCCTAGAAGAGCAGCCGGGGCTCTTAACCACTGAGTCATCTCTCCAGCACTAGAGTTAGCAACTTTACTATTTCATTCATTGTTATCGAGATTTTTTTCTTTTTCTTTTTTTCACATCGGGGACAGTTTCATTCGAGTTTTAAAGAAAAACCAGGGCAGGCAACTGTCAGTGTCAGCAGCTGCCAAAAGGAGGGAGGTAGAGAGATAAAGAAAAAGTCATGCCCTTTGAGTTAAGATGGCATGGAGGATAGTCACACAGTGGACAGAGAGCCACAAGGCAGAGAGAGGAACTTTAGAGGAAGTGAAAAGCCCAGAAGTACCACAGAGATCATACTTAAACTCTGGCTGGCACCTAAAAGACAAAGGTAAAATCCAGGCATGGTGACACACACCTTTAATCCCAGCATTTGGGAGGAAGAGGCAGGCAGATCTCTATGTGTTTGAGGCCAGCCTGGTCTACATAGGGAGCTCTAGGACACTCAGTACTATATAAAGAGACCCTATCTCAAACTATAATAAGCAAAGAGAGAAAAAGGCAGATTAGAAGAAGAAAGGAGAGTCTTGTCTTTCAGATATAGAAAGGTGGACCCTACAGAACCTTATTGTGGTGGCTCGAGGGGCTGTGGTTTGTTTGGTCTTTGAAATACGACTTGTCTAAGGAGTTCAGGGTATCTTTGAATTCACAATCCTTCTGCCTCTATTTCCTAAGTGCTGGGATCACAGGCATGTGCCATCATGCCTGGCTCCACTGTTGTTGGTGTTTGTTTTCTCTGAGTAGAGACGCTGAGCATCTTCTCATGTGCTAATTAGCATCCTCTATACGTCTTCCCTGAACAAGTAAAAAGTCACATCGTACAGTCATTTCTTATCTGGGCTGTCACTCTATGCATTGTAGAATAATTGCCTGTACCCTGGTAGTACTCAGTAAATACTTCTCTTTTTTGGTTGGGGGTGGTGCATTGAGACAGGATTTTACACTGTAGTTTAGACTGGCCAGAAACTCAAAAAATCCTTGTCTTCTTTGTTTGCTTGCTTGTTTGTGTTTTGAGACAGGGTTTCTCTGTGTAAAAAACAGCTCTGGCTGTCCTGGAACTTGCTTTGTAGGCTAGGCGAGTCTTTAACTCACAAAGATCCACCTGCCTCTGCCTCCTGAGTTTTGGGATTACAGACATACACCACCAAGGTAATCCTTCTGCCTCAGCCTGAGTACTGGAATTCCAGGGATGAAGCAGAATCTTGTTTTCTACTGTCTTCTGCTCTCCATTCTGCTTGTAAGAGTCAGCCATCATACTTGGTGGTTTTATGTGTCGACTTTACACAAGTTAGAGTCTTTAGAGGAAGGAACCTCAGTTGAGGAAACGCCTCAATAAAATCCAGCTGTAGGAGCTGGAGAGATGGCTCAGAGGTTAAGAGAGGACTGACTGCTCTTCCAGAGGTCCTGAGTTCAATTCCCAGCAACCACATGGTGGCTCACAGCCATCTAGTGCCCTCTTCTGGTGTGCAGACGTACAGGGGGGCAGAATGTTGTATACATAATAAATAAATCTTAAAAAAAAAGATCCAGCTGTAGGGCTGGAGAGATGGCTCAGAGGGTAAGAGCACTGGCTGCTCTTCCAGAGGTCCTGAGTTCAATTCCCAGCAGCCACGTGGTGGCTCACAACCATCTGTCATCAGATCTGGTGCCTTCTTCTGGCCCACAAGGACACATGCAGACAAATAAACAAACCTTTAAAAAAAAAAAGATCCAGCTGTAAGGCATTTTCTCAGTTGGTGATCAATGGGGGAGGGCCCAGCCCCCAGCCCATGGTGGGTGATGCCATCCTTGGGATGGTGATCCTGGGTCTCTATAAGAAGGTGGGTTGCCAGGCGGTGGTGGCGCACGCCTTTAATCCCAGCACTCGGGAGGCAGAGGCAGTTGGATCTCTGTGAGTTCGAGACCAGCCTGGTCTACAAGAGCTAGTTCCAGGAGAGCCTCCAAAGTCACAGAGAAACCCTATCCCCTATCTTGAAAAACCAAAAGCAAGCCAGGGGAAGCAAGCCAATAATAAGCAGCTTCTGCCTCCTGGATCCTGCCCTGTTTGAGTTCCTGTCCTGACTTCCTTCAGTGATGAACAGCAATGCTGAAGTGTAAGCCAAATAAACCCTTTTCTCCCCAACTTGCTTTTTGGTCATGGTGTTTTATCAGAGCAATAGAAACTCTGACTAAAACAGCCATGTCGGTGCACACAGAGGCAGGTCATTTATTTTGCTTGTTATAACCCATTCATCCATACCTTGCTGAAGAATAGCTGGACGCTTTCCAATTTGGGGTCACATCAATTGTGCTGTTATTGGAATAACTTCATGGGTGTTTCCTGGCACAAGAATGTTTGAGATTCTCAAGAGTTAAACTGATGCTGCATAAACAAAAGCAACACACATTAAAGATATTCTACGACAATCATCCAGTTAGCTCTTTGTCTCTTTTATTATAAAACTAATGAGAAGGCACTTTGGCAAAGACACATCTTCACCATATACAAAAAGATTATTCCATAACAGTGTATTCTTTAGAAAATAAGAGTTTAGACTGTTGGGTTTCTTTCTTTCTTTTTCTTTTGGTTTTTCTTTTTTTTTTTTTTTTTTTTTTTTTTTTTGGTTTTTTGAGACAGGGTTTCTCTGTGGCTTTGGAGGCTGTCCTGGACCTCGCTCTGTAGACCAGGCTGGCCTCGAACTCACAGAGATCCACCTGCCTCTGCCTCCCGAGTGCTGGGATTAAAGGCGTGCGCAACAATGCCCGGCTTTCTTTTGGTTTTTCAAGACAGGATTTCTCTGTATTGTTTTGGAGGCTGTCCTGGAATTCGTTCTTGTAGACCAGGCTGGCCTCAAACTCACAAAGGTCTGCCTGCCTCTGCCTCCCGAGTGCTGGGATTAAAGGCATGTGCCACCACCACCACCCGGCTAACCCTTCTTTTTCATGTATGTATGTATTTATTTATTTATTTGCGTGTGTGCATGCACACATGTACACAAACTGGCGTGTTGTTGCTCTCCACTTGTATATCAAGGTCAGAGTGCAACTTATGGGGGAGTCAGTTCTCTCCTTCCATCCTGTGGGTTCCAGTGTTTGAACACAGATTGTCAGGTCTGGTAGGAAGCAGTTTTACACGCTGAGCTGTCTCAACAGCCCATTGCCATAAACTATTTTTCAAATTAAAATGTAAGCATTTTATTTATCTTGATTGCATGTGTGTGTGATGGGATTGTGCCTGGCTGTGCATTTGTGGTGGTTAGAGGCAACATGGTGGAATTGGTGGGTTCTCTCCCTCCACATGGGCTCTGGGGATCAAACTCAGGTGGTCAGTCTTTCCTGGCAGCTGCTTTTCCCCACTGAGCGCTAAACTCCTAAGAGTAGGCGTTGGGTAGTAACTGTGGCCTTGTCATCATGACTTCTACCCACTCTAGAGAATTTCTAAACAGGGAACATTGGAAATGAGACAAAAAGCGAGAATTATAACCT